TTCAACTTTGAATCAAAATGAAATTCCACGGGCCGGATATATACACGGAATACGGAACGAGGCTGCAAGATACGGAGGGGAGAGGTTCTCTTGCCTCTGAGAGTGTAACGCGCCACCGGATACCCGCGCGGGTAGCTACGGGAAAATATTATGCCGTAGGGTGAGAGGGTAGGCCGGGACAAAGATGGGAAATCGCGTGGAGGACGGCAATCGAGCGAAAAATTGGGTTGTACAAACATCCTCTATCCGTGGCCCTGTATTCATCTTTGCACAGAGAATGCCCTCCCTCTCCTTCTCTCTATCTTCTGCTCTCCGGTTTCTCGCGGTTTCGCCTTCGTCCCGCGCACCTGCGCGCTGCTTTTTTTTTCACATCCACTGTCCTCGACTTCCTTCCTTTCTGCAACCTTGAGAAAATCATATTTTTCCGTCTCGGTGTCGTGGTTTCTTTTCCTCCGGCGAGGAGGATGGTCTTTGACGTGTTTCTTTTTTTCTTCTTACTCTTCTTCTTCTTCTTCTTTTCCGGAAAGAGGTTTTGTTTATTTGTTGAAAGCAACAGACAGGGTTCCTTGTTGGATGGTTTTGCGTTTTACTTGATCGTCTGATGGAAGTTTCGTTGCCTTTGACATCTTTTCGTTTCTTTTCTTTGCTTCTCGTTCTTCCAAAGAATTGCAACGAAACGAACAAAAAATTTATCAACTTTTACTTTCCACCCTTTCTCTTTCATCTCGATTATTCCCACTTCTATTTCTCGGTCGGTGATGAGATATAAGTCGAGTGAAAAAAATGAATATTTTGAATAATAAACCGTCGAATCGAATTCGTTATATATCATCTGCGTTATAATCCAAGCAATTATTTTTTCCAGAAACATCATGTATCTGATCCTTGCTCCCTCTGTATACCTCCTCCAACACACTCGAGATATAAATTCCCTAGGTAGACTAACTTAGATTCTTCGAGAGCGGCTTCCCCTTGCCGAGGGAAGGTTTCGAACAGGCGAGAAAACTTGCAACGATATTGAAGGCCGGGCAAGAAGCGAAACGGAGGGACGGTTCGATGGGAATCATTGTTATCCCACCGTCTGTGCGTTCGTGTCTGCCATTGCGCGTAGTTTCAATTTCAACCCCGACGAATAACAATTTCCTGGCTTATTTACACCGAACTCGTCATCTTTGACGCGTTATTATCGGAATTCGATAACTAATATCTTTCTCCCGCGCTCGTGGCACAAGCACGAAGAGTAATGATTAAAAAAAAAAGAGAGAGGGAGAGAGAGAAAGAGGGAGAAAAACGAGGAGAAAAAGAAATAAGGAGGAGCGAGGGAGAATAAAGGGAGAAGGAGGGCTCTCTAACGAAGCGGTTACAAGGAAACTGAAAAGAAAAAGAAAAAAATAAATGGCAGAGAAGATAGATATTCCGGGATAAAAGATACGAAACATTTCTATGTTTTTTTTTTTATCGACATACACATGCACATGAGAAACAATGTGTTTTAATAATCATTCGTATACGTGATGCTCATTAAAATTCTCGTTCTCCCTCGTTTCCTTGTATTTTATTCCGCGAAGAATTATGTCTCCTCTTCTTTTTTCCCCCATTCCTCCACGCTTTTCTCGCGGAAACTTGAACTGTAAGCTCCTTCGCGCAGCTCGAAAGCTAAGCTAAGCTTGCCTATTCCTTTTTCTTTTTTCTTTTTTTATTCGTACAATCGGAATAGTTGGAAAGCGAGATAAGATAAAGCAGAAACTACAGACAATGAAAACGACATTCTTTGATTAGACGTTAGAATACGAGAAATACGAGAAAAACGACGTATTAAAATCCCTTCATCCCAATTTTATATAAATTTTCGTATAAACACAGAATTTCAAATGATGAAATATTCGTTTGAATTTGCATTTCGAATTCAAAGAAACCTGGCGCGAAATTTTTGCGACAAAAGATCGCAATTGAATATGATTGAAAAGTTCGATCGCGTCATCGTCCACGAATTTTTGTTACGAAAAATTGACCGCATTGTTACAACTACACCGCACGATAAAAACCGCACCGTTTCAAGTCAATTTTAGAATTTTAAATTGACACTTGAATTTCGATCAAACAAATTTTTGGAACGATAAAAGCACGGTTCGATTATCACGAAGAATTGGCTGGTTGTTTAACGTTGCGTTAACGTTCAACGCCGCCACGTTCATCGTGGAGCGTTAAAAAGAAGAAAAGAGAAAAGGGAGGGTGGTTTTTTTTTCAATGATGACGCGCGCGATGCAATTAACCGAACGAGGGGAGAGGGGGAGGGGGACACGGATGTGTCTCATCAACACACATAATCCCTTGGGAATATTCCAGCGGTGGTGGCACGCGTTAATTTAGTCGGGACGACCCTCTAAAATTTGATCCTCCATTGTTTCCTCTCTCTCTCTCGTCTCTGGTCGGCGCATACGGGATTTAAGATCGTCGGCTCATCGAGTTTTCCGACGAATTAACCCCGTTTCGTTCGTGCACCAGCGGAAACTGTGGGACGATGGGTCAGGCGACAAGGGGGGGGGTAAAGTTTACCGGTGGATAAGGCAGGCTGAGGGATAGTCGAGAAGAAAAGACACGGTGTAACCGCACGGTTAAACGCGGTCGACTGGCGAGCTAATCGAATCTCTGCTCGTTGTAAACGTTAATTCATGAAGAATAATGTGTTCTGTGATACTTGACGAGGTAAAAGCCGTTATTAAGCGTTATTAAGCTGAATTAATTACTCTAAAAGGTGAACTCGATCTACGATAACGTTCTCTATTCGAAGAGGGATTGTCCGGTGGTAGGAAAACTGTTATTAGAAAAATATTAATGTTGATGCGCGACGTCTAGACGATATTTCGTGATAATTGAACGGAATACGATGATGTTATTAGAATGAATTAATCGTTATACAGGAATTTGATTTATAATAATTTTCTTAGGGAGAATAAACTTTTAAACGCTTCTTTTCTTTCGTCGTGAAACGAATGTTAATAGTATTGTATTTTAACGCGCAAATATAATGTTACAACGAGAAAAAAATATATATTCTTTTGGAAACTTTCAATTAAAAATAAAAGAACGAAATAATCGAGTAAATATAATTAGAAAGTTTGACTTATTAAATTTCTCTTAATAAAATAGAAAGAGTATAAATATATCTCGAAAATCAATTTCAATCGTATTCCGAGTTCATCAATTTCTAATGTCTAAGAATTGATTTCACTTTAAAACGAATAATTTCTACCAGCCTTTCTGTATATACTATGTATTAATTTGTCATTAATAGAAACTTTCTAATACCACGGAATAGATTTGTGCAACAATTTTAAAAATATCAATTTCAATTATAAACCTCGTATACGTGATATTATAATTGTCTCACGATATCGAAAGATCCTTCTCGATTACGTGGTCGACAACTTATCCACTTTTTCGTATATATATATAAAAGCTTAATTTTTATTTCTCTCACGTGCAGACTCTGCTCTATGCAAAAAGTCTTTGACGTCGCTAACGGGCGAAGTTTAGTATTAGTATTCCAAAGCGGTGCCACCGAAGACGAGGCTCTGTGATCATCGGAAAGGAACTTTCCATCCCCTTCCTCGGGGACAATCTCAGGATTTTTCCTCGCAGCTTGGTCCATTTTGAAAATTGAACGAATCTGACCGATCATCTTGTATATCTCTCCTTTATACGCGTTATATATTGTAATTTAATACACAATTTTAAAATTTGATTTTATTCTCCTCTTTAAATATCAATTTTAAATAATGCGTAATTGAAATTTACAAAATCTTCTTTGTATGTACAAGAAATTGAACGCGCGTAGAAAAGGAATAAGTAATTTTTTTTCCTAACAAGATGAGTGAAATAGTACGTAAGACCCAGAGAATTTTATTACGAATTTCCAACCCCTCTGCGAGTACCTCCAAAGCATACAGATTTTCCCTTTAAGAATTCACTTTCTATCTATTGTTTCCTGAAATAACAATTTTGTTATTTGTGTTTCCTTTGAACTTTCCGTGTGATTTAAAAATCATTTTGTCAGCTTTAAAATTGATTTCAAGACAGAACACATCGCCAAAATCTATATAATATCCGTTTTCATAAATTTCTCTATTCTACGTAATATTTAAAATTGTCTTCCATACGTTAAATAATATTTTTCCATGATCACTTTGAATCCTATCCTACGATTTAAAATTAATTTTTTAAAAGCTTTACAATTAATTCTCCTCGGATATCCATGTATCCTTCCACCCTCTTACAAGTCTCTTCACTCGATTTAACATACGATTTGTTAAATCGTTTCCACTTTATCACTTTTTTCAGAACAATTTGACAATCGTAAGTATTCTTTTCTCCTTTAAACTGATATTCGTTCCAACAATCGTCATTACGATCTCGTTCTCACGCTCTTTCTCTTCCTTCTCCCTCGAACGACGACGCCAAATCGTCGTCGTGGTGGAAACGGCGACTAGGAGAAGGCTCGTGAATCCCGCTTAGCGGATTTCCACAGCCGCCGCAGGGATTAGACTCGCATAATTCCACGAGACGTCCAGAAAACCATTAGAAACCGGACGCCTTCCCATTCGATCCGCTTGGGTTTCGAGGGAATTTAGGTGACGGGTCCGTGTTATACGGGGATATTTACCGCTGTGCGAAATTTTATTCCTTCAAAGTGTTCTTTATGCTCGAGATACATTTTGGAGAAATATTTGCTTTCGGGAAAATCTTGGGGAAAAGAAGGAAGAAGGTCGACTCTCTGTGCTTCTATTTTTATAATCATCAGACTTTGGAGTTTTTTTATATATATCTTTAGAGCCGGGAATAATTAAAGACGTGCGTAGAAAAATCCATGAAATAAACCGTGAAATACGTAAAGTCTAATATTTAAATCAAGTAATCAGAATATTTCAACGTAACCGAGAAAATTTCATTTCGTTAAGATAAATTAAAGAAGAAGAGGAATAATATGATTTTATAAAAGTCACGATTTCGCGAAGTGAAAAACCTCCTCATCAACTCTTTCTCTCTCTCTCTCTCTCTTTCTCTCTGTTTTTACTTCTTCGTGGACGATTGTTCGGATTAAACGAGAAGAATTTCAGAAAAGAGAACAAAAAAAAACCTCCGAATTATATATTCCTTTATCGTTAAAAAAAACCACTCTTGGATATCTAATATAAATATTCTAAAAAAAACAGACCATCGATATGTGTTTTCCTCCATTCTCTTATAATATCCACGTTTCTAAACTCTTCTCTTCGAAACGAAAGAGAATAAAATTCCTATCCCTTTATCACGCCTAAAACCAAGCTTCAACAACTATCCTCGCAATTCGATCGTTATCCTTCCTTCCTTCCATTCCACTTCCGCGAACTAAGCGCAAAATGGAACCGCGTGCTCATAAGATGCAACGATGTTACCGCGTTTACAATTCACGCTCGGCGAACGCGTGGAATTTATTTCGAAAATGCTAGGCGAACGATCTTGCGACGTGTCGCGTCTTCATTGAAATCCTCGCCCCGATTCCCGAGTTTCGTCAACCAGCCGTGAGACAGGTAAACACAACCGCGAAATCATATGCGCGCGAGATGGAAGGAAGCCTGGATCGTACGTGTGTGTGTGTATATATATATATATATACATATACGTTTATATAATATAGATGTGTGTGTATAGGTTGTGCATGTCGTATCCGGATGCGTGGAAGCGCGCGTGTATGGTAATGCACAGCCAGGTAGACCTTTGCAGTGTTAACGATGAACGCGTTCCGTATTAATCTGAATTTCAAATTCCCGCGCTATGGCACGTCCGCTCGCGGAATCGCTGACGAGGGGAAGGCATCGTGGCGCTCCCTTTGTCACCGAAATTGGCGAAAATGTTAAAATCCTTGTCGGTGCTCGCATCACGATGTAACGTTCGCGTCGACACTCGTTTCGGGGAGGGGAGGGGAAGGGAAGGTTTCGTAGAATTCGGGAATTCGGTTGGGGGAATATCCAGGTGTAATAAGGGTAATAATAATGGGAAAATTATTAAAATTATTATAATTATTGTTTGCTCTCGTTTTCCTTCGATTTCTAGAATGTATCGACCCGAGTTTGAAATTTTAGAAAGTTAATAGAAAGAAATTTATTATTATTAAGAGAAAATTTGACTCGAGGCGAATAAAATTGTTTGTCCGATGATTTCCTTCTTTTTTTTTTTTTTTTTTTTTCAA